CACATACTCACTGCAGCCCTTCTAGATGCATGCAAGCACTTGGCATATAGAAAATTTACTGACACTATGGCCAGATTTTACCATTTCTATTGAGAATTAGTAAGAATAAAACTCCAGAGATGCCTTACTGGCAAAGCCATTGAAAAGGCACAGCAGACCATTTTATTCTTCCTGTTCAGAGTCCTTCTATCCTTTTTTACTACTAATATATTCCAGAAACGAGACATAGTGAGCTGCATGTAATTATCTTACTCAATTTCCATACAACAGACATTTCTTTTATTGCATAAACCCACATATTCCCATCTTCTCCTTTAAAAATTGAGACAGTGAGTGGTTTAAGTAATTACAGCTGTCATGGAGGGTTTGACAAATAACTTTTCTGCTCAATGTATGCTTTAGGCCACTGGGAAAGCTGTCAAATAATGACATCAGAATCTACATTAATGCTGGCAAAATGCAACTGTGCTTCTTTTCACATTTAACTCAGGTGGTTTATAGCCCCTCTTTTCCCTATTCCGTGGTCAAGAACATGAGTGGAATGAACAAATGTGCTGTAACTCAGATAAAATGGGGAGAGATAATGAACATCAAATGAAAGTATGAAAGAAAACAAAAATAAAAAGTATGAAAGCATATCCTTCATTTGGTAATGAAGAAGCTTGCTCATTCTTCATCATCAATGAGCTTTGTAAACCTGCTCACTTCCTAAAAGTCCAATTAAGATGTAAGGGAGGAACACAAAGGAATGAGATACTCTTTCAGTACCTAAGTTATTATAGTTATTACTACTCTGCATTTCTTGCACATCCCTCACATATGAGAACATGAGACGGGTGACTGCATCACACACTGCAGAGCTGCCTTCCTGCTAATCCATGCCAAAGCTGTCCAGACTATTCCATCTTCAGCTGGATTTTAAAGGTGATCTTAACTCCAGTCAAAGTACAAAACAACTAGAAACTCACTACTGCTTTACTGCCTGCTGAAGTTATATGCTCAGTTCTGAGAGTAACCTTGAGCATTGATCTTGGTTTAAAAAGTCACACGTGGGTTTCCATCATCTGGAGGACAGCAGTGCCCAGAAGCAGCCAAGGCTCTCACAGGACTAGAAAATCCACTTTTCAGTGACAAGTTTATGGACTGAAGAAAATTATTAATGAGGAACTTAATTTTTCCACCTACAAGAAATACTGTATTATAAAGTTAAAAAATAAAGTGCAGCAAACATGACCTGGTTTTGCTGCTCTGGTGACAGTTTAGGGAGTGGTTAAGAATGGTACCTAGAAGCTATTACAGCTTGAGCATCAGGGTTAGTATTAGTCAAATCTGAACCCACACATGGTCCAAAAAAAATGTGATCTTCCCATTGATTTAACATCTGGAAATGCACCTTATGGCTGACATCACCCACCATCAACCTCAAAATCCGCACAGAGCACCCAGCTGAACTTGATCAAACCTCTGATCTCTGACACCCTGTTGCTGCTGACCCCTGCGTTCAGAGCAGCTTCCAGGCAAGGCCAGGGGCTCTGTCGGGGCTGGGGGCACCGAGATCCTGCTTTCTCGGCAGGGTAGTTACCTTAATGACGGATGTGATTCACTCCCACCTCGTAAGCATCCATGCGGTTCCACTGACATGCAGTTACTTTCATTGCTACAACAATGGGAATGAGCTGCATCAGTCCGTGACTCACACCAGAGGTGTCTACTCAGCCACATGAGGAGGAAGGTTTGCACATCGTTGTTTCACCTTCAGTTTTGTTACTAATTTGTACTTTGGGAGCAATTCCAGTCATTTTTATGAAACACAGAGACGCAGCACCTCATGTGCTTGGAGTCTGTGGCACAGCATGTAGGAAGGCTCTTGGGAGTCTTCCAAGTGTGGGGTGTTGTTTAAAGTGTTGACTTTCAGTGTTTATAACACCTAACACACAAATACATTGTAACATTATTTGCCACTAGTCCCATACAAAAGAATTTTAAGTCTCCTCCCATTAACAGAATTCTGCTCAGAGTTACTAAAAACAAAAACAAGTCACAGAACAGACCATGCTAAAAAAAAAAGCACAAAATGAAGTTATTCACAGCAGCCTTCAAAACAGAGAATTTAAACAGAACGTGTCCCCACACACACTCAATAAACTTTGTTTTTTACAACTTAAGAACGGTTCTAGCTTTTTTCTGAGGTTCATTGTGATGATAAATGCACAAAAGTGTATGCCATGCACTGCTGCTTATTAGCATTTAATGCTTCTTGAACAACCACAATGCAAATATTCATCACAATAGATGGGAACCTTGGTGGGAACAAGAATTCCCACAAATTGTTTAAGAGTACAGTAAATGAATAGTGTTATAAACAAAAAGCCCAAACCCCTCACAAACGTGTATGCTGCCTTTGCTTACAGACTAATCCACTACACAGTCATTGTGCAACTGCACTTGTACAAAAGAAACAAAAAACACCCCAAAATTTTATGTTCCAACAAGAAGTGTTTTCTATGTGTAGATGTGTTCAAGACAAGCAAACCAGTGTCGCCTCAAGGTCTGCTTGACTTTTCATGAGAGTTCCTTTTGTCAGTGACAGATTTTTGCATAAGTAGGATGTGACAGGACAGAGTATGAAGGCAAGACAATTTTAAAGAATCTTCCATTTTGAATTACTTAACGACAGTGCAACCAGCACACTTACAAACAAACATGACAACTTGAAAAAAAGTGATATTGGAAGCTTACTTCTAAGCTTTTAAGCTACAATAACACTAAAGAAGATTTCAAAGCTTCAGATGGCATGCTGACACCTTTTAAAGTTACTTTGACTTCACTTATACAACTGCACAATCAAAATAAACTAAATCTGATCTACATCATGCATTAAGAAGATTTCTACATCTGCACAAACTCTCATTTCCCAAGTCTCACCTCTCTAGTTAGTACAGTAATATGCAAACACAGATGTGTTTCCACTTGTGATCACGGTACTTACAGTCAAAGCATACATTTTTAAGTCTATTCTCATGAATACATTTAAGGAATAGAGAGGACAAAAGCCCTAAGGCTTACTGTACCTTGTAAAGTAACTAACAATCTTTAATATCCTTAAATCCATGTTATACAGGAGAAAAAAAGAAAAGGCTGTGAATATATTAATGGTATCTTTCATATCTTCTTATGGCTGTTTAAAGTTACAATAAAAGAAACATGAGAGCTTACAGAGCTTATAAAAACCAGTTTCTTTAGCATACACACACCTGACAGCCCTTCTTGGAAAGTTGGTTTCCCGTGTCAGCAGGACAAGATGAGAGATTGTGAGGGTGCACACGTATGTGTATATACACACATTCACGTACAGATGTATCAGAGTAAGAAGAACACTAGCTAAAACTACAGCAGCGAGCAGCAATACTGAGGAAAACCTCACAACGCCCTTTAAAACAGTTCCCCATAAGGGAAACGTTTTACAGCAGAGATGATAAAGAAAAAAACCCCTACAAATGGGAGAGATCTCATCAGACAGGCAAAGGAAGAACCCTGCCACAGCTCCTCCATCCTGCCTCGAGAGCCGAGGAGAGGAAGAGCGGAGAGCGAAGGGAGGAGGCGAAACCAGCTTCAATTTAACGAAGAGACAGCAAATTGATCACCTCAGACTCAGTGCTGAGCGAGGGGCTGCTAGGGCAGCCAGGATGCCCAGACCCCCCGAGAGCCCCCGCTCCCATTCCCCGCTGCCTCGCCCCCCTCACGCCCGGTCCCTCACCAGCCTGGGTGGTGTCGCTGAGATCGTGGTTGGCGGCGCTGGCCCGCGGATAGTCCCGGAGCTTCCTGCCGCTCAAACTGAGGGTCCCGCTGACCGCCGCTTCTTCCAGGGCTCGGTCCAAGGAGCGGCTCCAGGAGCCGGGAGCCGAGGGACCAGGCGGAGCGGGACAAGCCGCGGGCATCGCGGCAGAGCCGCCCTCCGGCGCCGCCATTTCCCCGCCACAGCCCGGCCGGACGGCGCATGCCAGAGCGCGCGGCAGGGGCGCATGCGCGGCCGCCGCCCGGCGGCCCCGGGACCGCGCGGACACCGCGTCCGTCCGTCCGTCCGGGCCGGGCCAGCCTCGCCGCGGGGCCGGATCTTCCCGCCCGCCTCGGCTCGGCTCGGCCGGCGCGCAAGGGGATCCCCGCCCCGGACACGCCTGGACACCTGCTGGAACTGTTAAAAGTTACAGTTTTCCCGCCAACGGTGGTATGTCACAGGATGGTTTCTGGGTGAGCATCGCTCACAGCTGCTGGGTGTCGGGCCCGTTCCAGCAGCAAACAGGGCAGAGCGCACAGATCTCCGCTAAGGGGGAAATCCAACAACTGCTTCACGCTTTTTAACTTAAGGATTGATTACATTAGAAGGCCACACCCTTTGCTACATCTTAGTAAATGCCATCTTGCCCTGATGCTTCCACTGAACCCACCTGATGGATGCTGCAGCCAGCACACGTGAGCTGATAATGAAGAACGAATACTGTCAATAATCAAGTAGCAAGACAACCACAATATTTAACACCTTGTCAAATACATTTACACTGACCATTAAGAGCATTTCCAGCGCTTTGTGCCTCCTGCTGGCACAGCACTCCCACACGGGCAGGAAGCAGCACAAGGTGTTGATGACAGCGATTCTCGCTATCAAGATATGTCACAGCAACAATCGGTGCCTGCGCTGACACGTCTGCTGCTCTCACCACACCGAGTCACTGAATTAGGAAGTGCTACTGAAATATTAATTAGCAGCTGACACATTCAAATGCAAGTGAGCCTCCACAGTGCCACTCCAAGAAGTGCTCTCTTGTCAGAGTATTAAGCTGGGCAAGGAGTGTGAACCCTCTCTTTTAAGTTAGGTTGCTTTCTGCCGTGTTTTTCAAAATGTTTAATAAGAATTTGATCAATAAGAACCCCTTGCAGGCCATCAGAAAATTCACATCACCAGTATATTGCCCAGGTGGTTATAACAGGACCAAGACAATATGAAACCTGTAACTTTTTATTAAAAAAAAATTAACAGCTTCAGAATAGATCAAATGTAATAACTTCTCCAAAAAATACCAAAAAGTACAGTGTAAAGCATCTTCTCATTAAATACAAACTAGCACTTTTGATGCACTGCATCAATGTTTTGCATCTAGGCTGATGCAAAAGAATTTTTTTGTTGCATCCTGGCACATGGAAAACGTATACACTGAAACAGGATGACTGACTACTCTTTACCTACTCAAATTCTAACAGTGGGACATTTATTTAAAAAAAAAAATCCTACTAGTAATTGAGAAAGAAACCTTAACACCATTACATTTAGTTTGCCTCTGCTAAGGTGTATATTTTTCAACATTAAAAATAAGGGTTTAAGTCCTATTTAGCATCAGAGTGCACTCTGACTTCAAAACAATACCAAAAAACCAAAAAAGCCCTTCTGCTGTCAAGTGCTCTTCAAGGTTAAGTTGCCAGTATATGCTAGTTAACTCGGAATTTGAAATAAAAATGCAAGGAAACCAACTCTGTCAAATATAAATTCTTCAAGAATATGAAAATGAGTTAAACCTGCTTCAAACACCATAAACATTCCTGGATGCAGCAAGCCAGCCACTCTTGCACCTGACTGTACCTAACCCTCCTCACCAAAGAGCAGTGCCAAGATCATCAATGCCTGGTCTGGAAGCAATTCTGAAGAGGTGCCTCAGTTTCAGGGATTACATAAATATAGATTGAGGATGCCCCAGTTGTTACTGTCCTGCAGATTCTGATGTAGCAGGTGGCTACATGTTCCTGCCTAATGCCTTACACATGCTGGCAAAGTGAGGGTTTTCCTCCAGAAGTGTTCCTCAGTTTCAAACAATTTCCAGATGTCTGACCACTTTGGATCAGCTTCACATCTTGCCTCTCTTTGGTATAAAAAAAACAAGTGCCACAAGATTGCTTGCCTCCAGCTATTTTTAAGAGTTAGAGAAAACCCTCTAGGGGCAAGGCATGCAGGATGAGAATCCTGTATCTGGGAGGGCAAGAAACTCTACCATACTGCTGACTTCCTTCTGAAGGAAGGCTGTATTTTTTCCTATCATATTATTCCAAAACATGAAGTTATTGCATTAAGTTTCTGAAAAACCTTTCAAAAAAGAAATAAAAAGTTTCAGAAGAAAAAGAGACTGATCAACTCCATTTACAGAGGAGGATGATGAAGCTGAGCTATTTGGAATATAAAGGACTCTCACACTGCCTGTGCAGTATTCCTCCAATATGGTATATGATCTGGACCACTTTTAAGGATAAGAGTAGAATAGTCTCCATCCCAGTTACAAGTTTTGGGTCTCAGCTAACAGCTTTATTTGTGAATGTGAGGATGCAAAACAGTTTTCAAGAAAAGAAAAAAAATGGAACTTTTTAAAAGCACAAAGAAGTACAGAACCAATGCTCCCATGAAAAATGCCGCTACATCGCTACCAAAGTATCCACGGACTGAGGCTCTGTGCTAAACTGGTCTCTGAAAGAGAGCTCAAAGGCAGTCCCTAAAAAAACCCTAAAATGGGGTTTGTAATTAAACACTTAAACAATCTTTACCATAACAGAGGGGTCAAAGAACTCAGCTGGGCAACAGAATCTTTTTCAACCAGGTGATGGTGCCGCTACATCAGATCAATTTCCGCTTTTTCTCCCTCAGGGCATGAAGTCTTTTACCATTCCAAGTAAAAGTAATAAAGAGAGATAGCTCTGCCACCATCTTAGCAAGATGTCTGGAGAATTCTAGTGACATATGCTGTATTCTTCTGCCCACTTTCATTTCAGGGGCTTAGATAGGTGGGCTCAGTGCCCAAGTTCATCTGCGAGGTTAGCCCACTGTTACAAAACGGCTTCCTTTGTTCTGAGACAGTGCTGTCCTCTGCTCCTTCAGGATCCCAAAGCGCTCGTTCAACGTCATCCCTGTCTGAAAAAGAAAGTAATTTAACCAAAACTTTAAAGGTGTTGGATTAATTCAAAGTAATGGAGACAGAACAGTTTTTTCTTCAGTCTGTATCATCACTTGACTCCTTAGCTGCCTCACTTGGATTTTTTGTCACTTCCCACACCGTTTAGAAGTCAGATTGGATTACACATCAAGAGCTTGCATTTTCAGAATTCATTAAGAACACATGGTATATAATGTCAATACTCAAAGTCTACCCAAAATATTCTAAGTTAAACTGAGGACAAACAGACTGACAACCAGAATTTCCAGTACACATTTCCCCACATAGATTCTCTGCAACTTCAACAAATGCAACATTTTCACCATTTTAATGCAGGTTGCTTTCCAGTTCACTCAGCTAAGGCAGCAACCTGGAGCCTAATCCAGAAGTTCAATTGATTTTACACTACAGTAGTAGACTTTCTGACATAGTTCTTATTCCTGGATGGAACAAATGCAGATCAGTGCCTTGACTCCATGCCGATTTCTACAACTGGCACTAAGGAGCTGATTACAAGAACAGCGTCTAACTCTGTCACCCTGTAAGAATTCCTTCAGTGACAGCATTAGGACTGCTGCACCAAATCACCTGTCTTCATGAAACTTGTGAAAAATTGCTCATCTTTCAAGCCTTTACATGCTCACGTTTAATTTTTTTTTTCCTAGACGGACAGCAAAAGTTGCCTTATAAATTTGGCTGCCAGGGTTCCAGGCAGGTCACACAGCTGAAGCAGCTCATCCCTGAATTATTCACAGTTGGTGATGCAAGCACAGCAGGAGCACCAGAAGCCTTTTAGAAATATTCAACATTTTAAATCTATTTAAATCATGTGGGCATGCAAGGCACGAACTAGAAGAACAGGAACAGTGAGTTTAGCTACTTGCTTGAAGTTTCATGGCGAGTTAGCGGAAAGACTGGAAGTGGAAACAAGAAGTAGTCACTAGTTCTCCCTTTCTGTCACTTGGGAGTCTAGGAGCAAAGTGTCTCACTGGCTTTTATTGGTCTCGAAACTACTTCCACAGTTATGAGAGGAAAATTGCATTTACCTGTTTTCCAACACTATTTATATCAAACTGCAATGGAACCCCTTTTGGAATCTTCTTCTCTTCAGACTGGTCCCTCTTCATCAGAAACGGTGGCACAGGACTACGAGTTAATCGTAATTTCTGGGAACTGTGAAAGAAGAATGTTAAAAAGGACATGATGAACATGTGTTTTATGCAAGAAAGCCTTAATGCTGATAGAGGTATGAATTTTTCATCAAATCATTTGACCAGGCTGGCTGAAAAGCTGGAGGGCAAAAATTCAAGAAGGCAAGTCAGGCAAAACTAAAAAAGGGACCATTTGTTATGGTTATCAGACACAAAGAGTCCCAGCAGGAAACCAACTTATTTTTCATCTGCAATTTTATTAACAGACTTGTAATTTGTGGTTAATTTATCATATAAGTACAAAAAATAAAAATTGGTACAGTCTTCCTTATTGATAAAACGCTACCAAGAAAATGCTAACCAAGACATTTTTAAAATATACCACCTATAAACAACAGTACCACCAACTTCCCAAACACAAATACAGCAATGCTCTCTTTAAGGACAAGTCCAGCAGTATTTTTATGAATCAGGGAGTAACTGTTACCATCACTCATCAAGTAGGTGCTCATTCATTTCCACTCAGAGGTGAAGAACAGCTGTGACATGGCCTGATTTGGAAGGACAAAGTGAAAATCTACCAGCCCATCACTCACCCACTCTATACATCACATCAAGCTCCTAACTGGGAGCTGACATTGTGAGATCCAGCTGTGATATCATTCAAACACTGCTCAGAAACACTCAGAAAGGGGCCAGACTTAAAAGCCTTCACAAGAAGCTATGACTTTGAGATCACCCAAAACATTACCTGCAAGGAATGCATTATATGGTTCAAAGCAGCAATTTCATTTATGTTCAGAACATTTCAGAACTTAATTGAAAACTCACACTGGGCTTGTGATTGCTCCTGGGTTGTCAATGGACACGGTTAGGATCCCTCCACTTGTGGTAGAAGTTCGCCATCTAGTTTGAAAACACAAAATCACAAAAATTGTGCAGAGATTTCAGTCAGGGTATCTTTAAAGGTATGTTCAAGATACTGGCCACCAAAGAACGTGCAAGCTTTTGGAACGTTGGCCAGTACACAGATCACATGCTATTGACACTTGGCTATCCATTCTTGCACCTTTTACATGACCTACACCTATTCAGGAGAGCACTGAATCACATGCTGTTGAGGTGCACCAGAACTACAGCACTGACTCAAGAGCTCACTTCTTTAAAACATTCAGTTTTCTTGCCACACATGGGGCCAAACTGGCCCACACAGCAAATTCAAGAGCTGATAGACTGCATTGTGGCACCTGCTGCTTTCCTCAGCCTTTTGTGTTCCCAAGAAACACCCTGCAAAGATCCCAGCAGGCACAGAATGGTATGGGAAGAGTATATGGGGGAAGAGCCCAGTGGCCTCCTTGGGCTCTGCCTTTTTCATTTCTAAACTGCTTTATTTAATATGCATATTAAATAAAAGGAAAATTACAACAAGAGCTCAAGATAACACTGACATTTGAATGTTTCTGCTAGTCTATGCAGTATTCAAGAGGACTAGAGATTAGCCTGATCCTCTTACCATCTTCCCCCTCATTCCTGCAAATGTCTTATGCAAACCAACTCCTCCTGGTTAAATTAGAAGATAATTTAGGAAATAACTGAGAATAGGGGGAGGATCACTGTCACTGTAGTTGATATGCCTAGAGGGGAAAAAAAACCACCCCCCTTCTATTATCATATCCAGGAAGTCTGAGCTAAAATGAGAATCCTACATGCTACAAAGCTGAAGATTTCCAAATTAGATACTTACTGGCGAGTTCTCTTTCCTGTCTGATTATCAAGATCATCTGTTGACTGCACTTGGGCCTGCACCTGAAAACACACCAGTACAGACACCAGATTTGAATATTGTTTCAATTCCTATTGTAGCAGCTGGAAATACAGAAGTTCAAAAACAGAAGTTTAAAGTTGTTTGTACACTCTGCACAAACAGATTTGTAGTTTCAGAGAGACTTCAAAGATAAGAGTCCTATTAATTTCATAAGACATTGCAAAGAAATTACTTTAAGAACACAAAATGAGTTAAATAAAACTGCCAATAGAGTAGTGGCAACATTTTGGAGGACTATGTCAGCGTAAGACACGTCAAAATGTTACTACACTAGCAAGAAAAGTCTGTCTAGTTCCTGATCCTGTCTGTAATTTTGCAAACCATCTGGAAGGAAGTCAACAGCTACTTACAGCCACAATGATGGCAGATGTAGAATGAGGGCACAAATAAAAACCAAACCCACCACTTTTCATTCACTGTGCACTCTCTAATCTCTCCATCCTACTAAAAATAACTAAAAAATCCTTAAGTAACTAAAATAACTGAAATAAATAACCCCAAAATAACTAAAAAAGCAAACCAAACCATAATCAGATTATAAAATGTGTTTCTGCTCTATTATTCACCTGAAAGCAACTTCTAAAAGCTGGACAAAGCTTTCTAACATTAACTTTTGAAAGGAAAAATTAATACCTTGCAACTACCCTCAAACACTGACAAGTTCCATGCCCCTCAGAACTGCTTCATTACATTGGAATGTGAAGCAAGACTCAATGGATTACAGTAACTGAAGAGAACAAGTGCACTTCCCTAAAAGAACCTGTGGCTAATTCACAGTTTCTGGAAACCTGAGGTTTCTACTCAGATCTGACATTTGAAGTTGATTCAATAATATCAGTGTTTCAGGTTAGCTTAGAATCTATAGCCCAACTGCCTTGTTCTTTTCAAAATTTGTATTTACCTTCAGGCCCCTTCTAAACAGGAAAGTTGCTTGACGAGTATCTTTCTGCTGATTTAGTTTGTTTCCAATTCTGACAAACGTAGATGGCATGTTATTCCTGTAAGATTTATTAAAAATATAGTTATAAGAGGCTCCACAAGGAACATCTTAGAGACACTACTATGAGAGTCAAAAAAGTGTCCAAAACATCCATAAGTGTCCAAAACATCTGTAGTGCTGCCTCTCTTTGTGGCTGAATGCTTCAGCTGGGATAAGCTCCCCACTGACTAGGAATGAAACACATTATTCATAAATGGGGAAATCACTGTTGGTACATAGAAACCAAATGTTCATACATCACAGGACAATATGGTCATTAATTCTGCTTTTCACTTTGATCAGTATCCTCCAGCACGTTAAAAGTTGGTTAGATGGAAAAAAAAATTAAAATCAGTATGTATAAAGAAAGTTTGTTTACAGTTTTCATGGTATAGTCACAGAGTGAAACCTTTTATCATGGAGACCATTTTGGTTGCAGTTTATAACACATGTTAATTCCAGCACAAATAAAACATGCAATGGCTTTCCTGAAGCTGCAGATGGCACCAGCTTCCACAAAGGCATTTAGAAAGTTCACTAAACCATGGCTAAAACACTTCTGAGCCATCAAAATCCACAGCGGTCATTTCCATACAGAATCATAAACCACAGAATGCTTTGGGCTGGAAGGAACCTCAAAGAACCCGAGATTCAACCCCCCTGTCATGGGCAGGGGCACCTTCCACAAGATCAGGCTGCTCAAATGTAGGCTGCCTGTGATTTAACTGAAGGCAAAATACCAGATGCTCAAAAATAGAGGCACTCCTGAGTGCTCTACATCATAACAAACATATGGCTTTGTCTTGAGACCATGTTTGTCAATTATTGGATTCCAGATTTGTACAACTTCACACACAAGGTGGTTTTGACCATATTGCTACTGCCAGTACCTACTGTCTCTCTTAGCCTCAGTCCTGTCAAACAAGATTCACTGTGGCAAGTTGCCAAGTAGTGTTCAGAAAGCAGGCTTGGTAATTTACCTCCTGTTTAGCAGGGCAGGCCTCCTGAGGGCAGGAGCTTGTTTTCTCTGCATTTCAGATTGTCTCTGCAGGTTTGTCTTCCTTTTCAAGACCGGATAATTCCGCTGTGCATTCTTAAAAAACAATAAACATATTCAGCATAATGTATGCTGTACACACACCAACATTTTTATTTCAGTTTCCATTTACAAACTGTGATTAGAATACACTTGGCTTTGCCTACCTTTCACAATCTACTGTAATTTGAAAACACCTTCTACAATTTCATGAATTCTATATTCTCCACATCCTCAGGAGAAAACAAAAAGCAATATACCGTAGCAGTTATTTTTTCATTAACATATCTCCCTCAACTGACAAAAATCCATGCTGCACATGTCTTAAAATTAGTCTTCTTCAGAAATCCAAAGGCAAATCCTATTTTACAATACTGAATGAGATGAAGCAGGCAACAAGGCACTGGAGTAGTGCAGAGAAGGGAGCCTATTGATGGAGTTTAGTATTCTGCAAAAACTTCCAATTTTCTAACAGCACATGCTTAGCACCTGCAGGTTGGCTGAACCATTTGTCTGCAAGAAAACCAATTTTCCTTGTAAAAATACAGTAACTCCCTCCATACTCACACAGAATATACTTCTGTACTTCAACTCTCATGACTTGTAACCCAATTAAGCGTTAGAAACTATTTTCACACCTAGTCATTATCCAGCCCACTCAAAACAAACAAGAACTCGGGCAACACATTCCCAATTTGATACAAGCTTTTACCATTTGTCTCCATTTTGTATTTCAGCAGCACCGCTCTGAAGCACTCATGTGTCATTTTTTTAACCTGTTCTGACACGAATCACCAGGGTTGCACTGATTAATTACCTTCTCACTCAGGGGCTGCCTGTTCAGAGGACTGACTCCTTTGTGTGAACCCACAGCTTTCCTGGCTGCCAGGCCAGTTATGACTCCATAAGAACGCTTCTTCCCTGCTATCTTCTTTCTGCGTGCCAAACGGTTCTTACCATAACCTGCAAGGAGCACAGAAAGCTCAACAATTCTTCCTGAAAGGAAAAGATTAATGCTTTAGGATGCCTTGCAGGCAGCACAAGTTATTTGGCTGCACACTTCAAGCCTTAGAGCAGAGGCCACCACTACACTTGAAGGCAATTTGGTCACTCAGTTTAGCAGGTCTGGCCCAAGCCCCAGCAGAGCAATGATCTGCTTCTCGTACAGAGCACAGTTTTACTGTAATTCATTGCACTAATTTTTGCTGAAAATTTCTTATTTGAAATGTCTGCAGGGAGAACTTAAGAGTCTTCTAGCACAGAAAACTACCAAAATACTCTGAAATGGAACTTCATCAAGTACTGAACAATATAAAACCAAACCACACTCCCTCAGCTTCCTATCCATTCAGCAAATTTCAAATTACTAGTTTAATTTAAAAGGAAAAAAACCCAAAACAGCTTCAAAGATTATTTATTTAAATCAGTGGTTCCCAAGACATGACTTAGAAGGAAAGAACATAGCAATTGGCCCTCAAAAGCATATTAAACAGCACATGAATTATAAAACATTTGAAGTGTTTTCAATTAGAAGTCTGCATGGCAGTGCAGCCAAACTGAGGACTGAAAGCAGCTTTTGAATATAAAAGGCTTTTAGTAAGTCTGAGGTCTGCAGTATCTCCAGTTACCAGGGATTGATTAACCTAGTCTGGAGTCATTTAGCTTCATGCTGTGAATACAACCATGCTCCAGTTTTGTCCCCAAGCACCCTTGCCTCTAGAACCTCACACTGCAAAACAGATTTCAGACTGAGGAGTCAGCTCTCCAGCAACAGACACATTCAGTTTTAACAATCTGACTTAACAGCATTGACAATAAATCTGTGCTTTCTCATGAGACAGGAGCCATGACATGAGGTAAGCCACTGGTCAGAATCCAGCTCAGATCAATTTGCCATGGAGAACTGCTGTGTACACACATTTTGTGGCTGATTAGCAAATGCTCTCCTTTTCCAAGAGAACAGCAGAGAAACAGGGTTGCTCAGGCTGAAAGGGACCTCACAAGCTCTATAAACCAACCCCTGCTCAAATAATTGAAAACCTCCTAGTTAGCTCAGGCTGCACAGGGCTTTGTGCAGTTGCATTCTGTGTATCACCAAGGACAACTTTTATTCAAATGAACAATGCTCATCTCTCTGCTTTTAACCCCAAAAGCTGAATAGAATCCAGCTCAGGCTCCTCGCTTCTTTCCAGAAAGTTTGGTAGCCACTTCTAAAACCACAAGGAACTGAACACTGCTGATCATTTGTGGTTTCTGCACTTGTCCACAGTGGCTTTGCTACTTATCAGAATAACTTCAATAGCAACAGAGTAGCAATAAATCTACTGCTAAGCTAGTAATAACTAGAATGCTCACAAGAACTATTTAATGACACCTGCTTAAAAACAATAGAAGAGATTTGTTTTCACTGTGAGAAAACGTGCCAAGCTATATAGGGAGAAGCAGCTGAAACTATTCAATGTTTCAAGATGTCATGAATCTGGCAATTTTGCAAAGAAACTGTTTGCTTTTTCCCAGAACATGGGCAGAGAAGCCGGAGAGGTTCCAGCAGAGAAAAGTAACTGCCTAAGACAGCAGTATTTAGAGCTTCAAGTTTACAGATCAAGCTTCTCCTAAAATTCTAAAAGCTAATACTTGTTTCTTTTCTGGTCTTTTGATGATAAACAATTGCACTTGACAACTGCAGTTATAAACAGAGCCTACATGTTTGATAATCTACAACTTAAATTCACTTACTCTTCACCCACACAAATCCTCACACTTGGGCTGAGAGATGTAAATTTTTCTCCAGCCCTGTCACCAATTTATTAGAGATGTACAAGTAACACAGTTGCATGGGTCTACACAGAAACCAAAACTCCTCTGAGCCCTGAGTAACACAACATTCCACTGATCCTTAAAGACATTTGTGTCTAAGACACAAAGGAGGAGCTGCTGCTGCAGCAAACACTAAGCAAGACAAAGATAACACAGGGATCATCGTGAGTACACCAGACAGAAGTGTCTTTGTTTTAAAGGAATGCTACTAAATAAGAAATTACATGTTTTAACCTAAACACCTAATTAGCTCATGGTGGTAAGCTTTCTTATCAGACAGTGTTCTTCCACATTTTGATCATCCTGTACTAAATAGATACTTTTCAAAACTAACTGCAAGCAAAACCAGTCTGCACTTCAAGCACGAGTACATAGAGCTATCTATGTACTGAACTAAAGCCTGGGAATAATTTAAAAACTTTTCCTGTTTATCAAAAAAACCATGAGTTACTCAGGGGAACCTACAGCAAAGCTGTTATTGTGCACTTTTCCTCTCCTCACTCCCTGCCTATATGACTCTTTCCCCTTTTTGTATTCCACTGTAAGAACACTGGTTTAAGAAGGCTGACACAGTACTTCCTCTGCATCTCAAGCTCTTACAAGAAAAGCCAACTCACACTGTGCATTGTCCATTTAAATATTCCTGAGCCAGGACCACAGTCTATAGTAACAGATACTTTGGGGAGGCCTGTAAAGAGAATTCCACCCAGCAAATATGAATATGCTTTTCTTTTGCACAAAGCTCTGAGCTCTGCAAGGCCTCCACATCTCCAATTACAAAGGCTTTGGCATAAGCACTTGTCCTGTCCATCTCTGAGAAGGGGCAAGGTATCATCACAATTTCCAAAATTAAAATTAATGTGAAGAATCAGAAAGCAAGCCAATTCTTCCTTGAGTCAAAGACAGTCCTTCAAGAATCTAAGCTTCCTGGTGGCCAAATATGTCAATTACTTTCTCACACTGAATCAGAAACAAAACCAAGTACAAATAGATTAAAAATACCCCCGAATTATAATCAAAAGACACTATTTGAAAGACAAGTGAACTGACCACGTCATTCCACACATTTCATTATTCCACCTTTCAGCTCAAGAAAGATAATGTGGAATCTGTATTATGTTTGGCACACACACCTTTCTGCTGTTGCATTCCCCACTTGGAGCCTTGTGAACTGAACTGTTGAGCTCGATTCTGCTGAAGCCCTCTTTTTATTTTGGGAGAATATTGCTTTCTCTCTTCTTTCTTGTTCAGTTTGATTATATCATCTACAAAAAGAAAAAAGAAAAATTGGCATACTGTATTAAATTTGTCATACTGAATACAGCCTGGAGTCACAGGAGACAGACCAGTCAATCCTGCAAAGGCAGCACATACAAGTTAAGGTTCCAGGAACATTATCACTATAAACATCCAGTCCCTGTTATGTCTTACAGAAGTTACTTTATAATACAATCCCCCAGCAAAGGGAAGCAGTTTCATACATCCAGAAAATGTGAGACACGTGTAAGATCATGGCATTCAGCCCGGCATTAAATTTTAATCTGAATTACTCCACTAGTTTTTGTGCACTGTTAAAGAAATGAAAGTCCAATCTCATGCCCAGACTTTTCAGAGACCAGATAAAATGTCAATTCCAGCCTTAGTTCTTTCATCCTAAGCTACTTAAGAAAGATCACACAGACACAACTCAAGCCATCAGTTATCTTCAGATGTTCACCAGGACTGCAATGATGGGGAAAAAGGCAAGGAAGACATCTCTCCCCAGGAATCTACAATCCAAAGCAATCACCTTATCTATTGTCCAGGGAAACAATCCCAGACAAGTTATTAATCATTTCAAAAATATGTGTAAGAAACAAGCTGATGAAAAGCAAACAGCAGATCTGTCCAGTGCAGATTATGCTACACCAGCTTGATTTCCTTCACTGACCTGGGAGCCAGCTCAGGAGAGAAGAGTAAAGCAAGAGGTGTGGCAGCTTTTATCTGACTGCCAGCTTGTTTACAAGAACACCTCAAAGGAAACTGTCAAACTGTGTTTACTGCATCTTTATCTTGAGAACACAACTCATAAAAAATGTCATGTTTTAATAGGGAGCCTCCCCAAATAGGTGGACACTTTTTTCAGTCAAGGAAAGATGGAAATGGGGTTACTGTGTTTGTGGCTGAGTTCAAATGGACTCATAAGGGGTAGAACAGAGAAAACAGTGTAAAAGCATAAACAACAAAAATCACAACACTATTACCCAATGGTTTGCATCCTGTCAAAAGGAAGCTAAGAGAAAATTGATTCACTTTGCTGCAAAAATCTACGAGGACAAGAATACTGACACAGGTCACTCAGGGTCTGATATCTACACAATCTTCTTTACCAAAGGGGTTGTCCCTGGAACAAGGATTCCAAACTATCCTTTTATACACAAAGAAAACCAAAGCCACTTCAAACATGGATTCATGCTTCACAGTTCATCTGCTTCATCTTAAATCAATTTTTTTCAAGTTGCTGCACACAAGGCTACAACTTTTTAAACAAAAGAACTTAAATTTCAGCTATTCTCTCATTTGGGTAAATGAAGGACATTTGGGACTTCATGCATTTGTTAGAGGAGCCACACTGAAGCAGTTTTCTATCTTGCATGACATCAGAGACCACAAGTACAGCTAGAACAGCAGAGTTATCTGGGAGCAGTATCCAACTGGAAGCTCAGCTGCACATAACACAACCAAAACATGTTTAATCTTTATTACTATATGAGAATTTACTCAACATCATGATCTCAGTCTTAAGACTTCCTAGATTAGGCTCATGTCAGTTTCTTTGATATCACACGAGAGGTGGGACTGCGTCTTCTCTTTGGTCACACCTGACACAGAGCTTTCACCTGGGGACAGCAGCTGGGGTGACAAGGTTCTCATGCACCCAAAGAAGCACCCGCTTCACAACACCACTTTAAAACAACATCCTCATGACACTGCAACAGTCCTTTGCAGTCTGCTGTTAGTTCATGGCCAGGACATGCAGCAATGACTGGCTGAAAGGTTAACTCAGCCAGGAAACATTAGAATATATGAAAACACAACAAGTCAGGAGCAATAACTCAATTGGCAAAAAACAAAGATTGTGTGCAATGGGTAAAAACAGATTTAGCCTTCTATGAATGCTGTAGCACCACTCTACATTCAAACTCTAGACATCATCTCACAAGTTATCTCCACTGCCCAAAGAACTCCACTGAATTATTTACAGAGGGGAAAATTGTACATATCCTCTTATTTTATGATGGCCCACAAAGAGACCAAGTCCACTATTAACAATTTCAGTTCACACTATGAATCTTTTGCTTTTTGAAGAAAGTCTCCTGATAGCACCAATCTATCATGCTCTGGTAGTATCACAAAGCAGTATTGGAATGTACAAAACAATTAATTTTTTTTTTTATCCTAATAAAAGTAAACTGGAAGATGCAGCCCACGAACAGCTCAGTACACAGTACCAGAACAGAACTTCTCTGAGATACCTCCCTGAAGTAGCTACAGCGTGGATGTCTGTTTCTCACACGCTGGAGAGACACAGCTCTGCAGGTTTGTAATGAGCCTGTGAACTTCCTAACACACACACACACACACACACACCCCCCGCACAGGCGGGCAGGGGACACGGGCACATTGTCACAGCAAACTGCGTGGTAGAGGTGACGTCACGCTCGGCGTGGCCGGTCTGATACAGCAAAGAGACACGGGAAACTTGCCACTGCCGACTTCCAAACCTGGGAAGAATAAAAAGGCCAGGCCAGCTGAGAGACCACCAAACCTCACCCATCCCTGTAGCTGCGAGCGCCAGGCGAGGCCCTGGGACGCTCCCCGAGGCCGCCCAGCCCAAGGCCCGAGCACTGAGGCCCTCACTGGGCCAAAAGTGCCCCGCTCTGCGGCCTGCTCACACCACCAAGCGACACAAAGGGGTCCCGGCTCTTCCCCGCCAAGGACCGCGACCCCGGGCGCCGCTGGTCCCGGTGGCACGGCCGGGACTCGCCCCCGTGCCCAGCCCCGGGCGCCACCCGAGCCCCTCCTGCGCTCTCGCCGTGGGAGGGTCCCGTCCTTTCCCCTCCCCACCCCCCCGCCCTCGTTGGTTCCGCCCGCGCCGGTGCCCGGCACAGCCCGGTTGGTTCGTTCCGCCCCTCCCCGTCCCCGGCACTTGGTTTATCCCGAGCCCCTCGCCCTGTCGGCTACAGCGGCCGCCCCGGTCCCGCTTCTCACCCAGGGACATGTCGATCTTCTCCACGCTCTCGCCGCCGCCGTGCCGGGCCCCCGCCGCGGCCGAGGAGCCCGGGAACGGTGCCGCAGCCCCGAACGCGTTCATGGCCGCCTCCCTCAGACCGAACCGCCCCCAGTCGGGCCCGCGCATGCGCAACAGCTCCGCCCAGCCCAGCGCACAGCCGCCCGCGCCGGGGAGCGGCGCAGCGCCCCTCTGGCACGGCGCCTCCTGGCGGCCGGGAGGAGCAGGTACAGCGGGCGGGGGGCGATGCCGGGGGGCGATGATGCCGGGGGGGCGATGATGCCCGGGGGGCGATGATGCCGGGGAGCGATGCCCGTGGAGCGATGCCCGGGGGGCGATGATGGCCCGGGAGCGATGCCTGGGGGGCGATGATGGCCCGGGGAGCGATGTCGGGGGGCGATGCCGGGGGCGCGGGTCCCGTTGGGTGCTGGCGGCCGCTTCCAGAAGCGGCTTCTCGGGGACAGTGTCCTTGGGAGGAGTGAGGGGCGCATCCTGGGCCCGGGCAGTGGCGGGGGGCGCTGGGAAGCAGAGCTGGCGGCAGGGTGCAGGGGCCGGGGGACACGGCAGCTGTGCTGTAGGGACAGAGTCCCGGGCTGGCTGCAGACCTGCTGGGTGCTGAGAGGGGTCACAGCGGTGGTTGGAAGCATGGAGCAGCTCTCCTAGAGGCTGGAAGATTTGGGGGTTTTCAGCCTGGAGAAGAGAAGGCTCCGGGAGATCTTATTACAGACTTCCAGTACTTGAAGGGGCCTCTCGGAAAGATGGGGATAGATTTTTCAGCAGGGTTTGTTGCAATAGGACAAGGGGTGATGGCTTTAACCCGAAAGAGGGTCAATTTAGGCTGGATATAAGGAGGAATTTTTTTTTATAATGAGATTGCCCAGGGAGGTGGAGGGTGCCCTATCTCTGCAAACACTCAAGGTCAGGGTGGATGGGGCTCTGAGCAGCCTGATCTAGTTGAAAATGTCCCTGCTCACGTCAGGAAAGGTCAGTCCACATGACCTCTAAATGTCCCCTCCAATCCAGCCAGTCTGTGTTCCAGAACAGGGAAGGGTGTTCAGCTGAGAAGTTGATTATGAGGTGCCTTTGCCTGTGACCCTCATGCCATTGAAATAATCTGTTCTGTGAACAACAAAACCAATGCACGGTGGTTTTGAGCACAATTATGTTTCCAAATGTCAAACAGCAGAGTTCAAACTAGGTTCTTATTTCAAAATACCATGCAAAGCTTAAAATTACTACTTAAACCCAGAACAACGTGTCCATATTTTTTCTCTTTGGGTTCTTTTCAGAGTTGTTATCTTTGCTAGTTTTTGGTCAGAATCATGTGATTGAGAAATTCAGAAGAGAAATTGTTTTTATTAACAAGGAATCTAGCAAAGCCTTTCCCTGCTCCCTGTATATTTGCATTCTTTGGAGTGTGGTATTGGTGGGTCAGCAGTACCTACATGTGTGCCTAGTGGGCAGCTGGCTGTGCTAAACAAGTTACATGTAAAAGGGCTTTTTTATACTTTGGCACTTTATTCACTTGACACTCTATTACAATTAAGGGATAGTAATTATCTCTGGAATCTCCACATCTTGCTCGTGGTTGGTCGAAATTGGTCACTGAGTTCCAGAGACAGAAAAGGAAGGAGCAGATGGACTGACAAGGTGATCTCAGAGGACGAACTTTCTGCAGAAGCTGGGCAGTAAATGCTGAAAGGAAAACCCACATCTATTTCTCCTGCTCACAAGGGTCACCTTGCATTACCAAGTTTTCTCTGGGAGCTGTGCTGAGGCTGCCGCCCTAAAGGTGACATGACCAAAGGACAGCTTGTTTTAGGGTCTGCCTGCCTGCCTCCAGAGGGGGAGCTCCACACCGACCCTGCAGGGACCGTATTGCAAATGCCCTGGGGTAGGGATAATTATTTCCACACATGACCTTGCACACGCCTTCTCCCAGCAGGAACACTCCCACATTTCTTTCCTTGCCCACATAATCCATATGTGCATTTGCTAAAGTAAACACTCTGTGGCGAGGGCAAAATCCCGAGAACCTGACCTCAATCGAGCTCTGGTGCCTGTGATCCCTGTCACAGCTCTGTGCTGCTGTGCTGGGAGCTGCCTGCACTGAAATACTGTGCAGGGTTTAAGAATGGCAGAGCTTTCTAGGAGTGTAAGGCAAGAATAAGAGCAGTGGGTTTAGGCTTTCTGTCCTCAGCTGTGTCCTGTACTACAGACTGTTGACCAGGCCTTGCTCTCTCCATTTACACTCTTTATCCATCTCTTTTTAAATAAGGCAAAAAATGTGTTTCTGAATGTTCCTCTTGCTGCTTCCTATTGTGTAGAAGAGAATGGCTCAGTTACTGTCACAGGACACCTCCAGCTAGTGAGAGATTTTCCCTTCAGGCAGGAGAAACTCGTGACCACAGCTGGAGGCTGACAGTTCCACCCTGATTTCTCCTCTGTGTTCTCCATCGGCAGCAGAAGTTCAGACACGGAGTTTTGGACCCACATATTAAAAAAACTTTTGATAACATTTTCCTTCAGGTGAGATTGGATGACAAGTGATTGATGACGAGTAGGAGGTTCTTATAATCAGGCTACATTTCTAAAGCAAATATGCTATTGACAGATTAGCACGAACTACTAAAAATAGAGGTGCCAAAAGATGTATTTTTGAAAAAGCATTAAGTCAAATTCCCATGAGGCTGTAGGGTCCAGCTCCATCTGGGGACTGTGTCACACCAATAAACAAATGCTCTGTTTATCCCAAACAAACACATGAACTGCAAAGGTGGCAGATGCTACCTGTGCTCATGATAAGTGGAAATAGGACAAAATCCAGATTTTACAATATCCATGAGTTGTGTTTATTATACAAACAGGATGCCAGCTGTCTGCTGCTCAGCACAACAGAAAACCAGGCACAAGCTGTGATCCTGAAGAGTATTTTCTCTGTTCAAAATGGCTGGGGATCACAAAGGCAACCATGCAAACATCAGCTCTTGGTTTGCTGTGTGGCTGTTGGGAGTGTGTCAGCGTCCAGCCAAGGGACAAAGCTTCCACGTGGCACTGAGAGCTACAAAGAACTAAATTAGATCTGTTAGTTTTATCTGCTTGCTCCATTTCACCAGGCATGATCGTCTAACAATCACAATAGTCCGGATGACTTGATTTCCTCCAATATGTTCACTGTGAGAGTCAGCACAGCCTGAGACCTCACGTGCCATGCACAGGCAGTGGTTTCAATCAGTGCAGGGCTCTACGAGAGGAATTTCTGCCTGATGACTGGACACAAGTTGTTGTTCCACACTTGTATACAATTATGATGCATGAGGAGTCCTGGTCTCTTCATTAAGCACGTTCTGAAAAATACATTATTATTATTATCAAGAACAGCAGCACAGAACCTTGGACTCCCCTGTGCTGCAGAAATACTGTACTGATAAAATAAACCACAGAGAAAATGTAACGTCAAGGGGTGCTTTCTCATGTATGCAGCATACAGTTATCATTTCAAGTAACAGTTATAGAGAATTTCCATTTTACAAATGCCTGGCTTTGGTTTCAGAGGCATCACACAACTCCAGAGACGTATCTAGGTTTTATTTCTGACAATAATTTGTCATTGACTGTTCTCAGTCGAAAGCAGCATCACTTTTTCCCATTTGAAGTTTCATTTGACGGCCTTTGGCGGAAGGCACATCTTGCTCTGCTGTATTTTTCACACCCTCCTCACAGTGGGCGGTAGAGCAGGGCCCTCTCTCCGTTTGTCTCTGCAGGCGTGATCAGTGCGTGAGCTGTCCCTCTGGGACACGTTGTTTGCTTGGTTTTTTTTCCCTTGCCATCGCGTCTCCCTCATCCCGTCCAAGGCAGGATTTGGCGAGGGTTATTTCAGCAATCATTGTGCTTTTTCCCAGCGCTTTGAACTCGGGGCTGGGGAAAAAACTGCAGCGGACAGCCCGTCATGGCGCCCGAGCGCCGCGGTGCACGCTGGGAGCTGTAGTCCGCCGCGTAGCCGGCTGCTCCGGGGGACCGCGGTGCGCGCCGGGAGCTGTAGTCCGTGGGTGCGGCGGGGCGTGGCGGGCGCTCGCCCCTCCCGCGTGACGGTGTCGCGGTGGCGGCGGCGGCGGGGCCGCGCGCGCCCGGGATGGAGATCGGGCCCCACGCGGGGCACGCGGAGAGCAGGTGGGGCCGCGCGCGGCGGGACACGCGCGGGAGGGCCGGGTGGGTGCGGGGGGCCCGGGGGCACGGCCCGCGGGGGCGCCCGTTGGAGGCGGGACACGGACACGGACCCGGGTGTGGCAGCGGGGGTGCGCCCGGGGGCGGCCCGGTGCTGTGCGTGCACGCGTGGGGGGCCGCACCCGTGTGTGTGTGTGTGTAAGTGTGTGTGGGATGTGCGTGCGGGAGGGCGGGCGGCGGCAGTGGCGGCAGGCGCGTGGCAGCAGTCGGGATGCGCAGGGGATGCTCCCGGAGAGCTCCCGTCCTGCGTGGGGTACCTGGGGGCGAGCAGGGAATGAACGGACTCCTCGTGAGTGGGATCGCTGCTTGCAGAGCGGAGCGTGACACTGCCCCCGGCTCGGTCCCTCGCGGGAGGGAGCACAGTGCGCCGGGCTGTCAGAGCCGTCACCCACCCGAGGCCACACATCGCGCTGCTCGCTGCCGTGGGAAGGAGTCTTGGCCACTGCAGGGGCAGTGACGGCCACGGATGTGGCACCTCAGTACCTGGTGCTCTGTCCCCACTCTGTCCCCCATCAGCCATGGCCAGCACGGCAGCTGCCAGCTCTGTGCTTCACACGCCTTGAGCTGAAGGGTGAAACACCCCGCCCTAACGCCGAGCTGCCGCCCTTCAGGTGGCTCTGCAGCTTGC